TATAGTTCTACTTGGTTACACGTTTACTGAAAGTAATAGAACCAGTTTCCTTTGCCATAATTGCATTCCTTTATTGTGAGACTACTGCCTAGTAATGATTAACAACATGACTTGGTTGTGCCTCAACATCTTCCAGGCCTGTTTTCCTAGTTATTTTCCATAGGTGAAAGGTGGGAACCATTAAATCCCCTTGGGGACTGCGTCTGTCTTAGGTTGTCAGAAATTCCTTTCTGATCTTACCCGTCATTGACTGTCCAGTCCAGCACACAGGGGAAGAGGGACTTATGTACCATAACAGCACAGCCACTCTGTTTTAATGAGAAATTGTGGCAATAGTCACATTGCTCTCAGGAGCCGCCACAGTTCCCCCTTTTTTTTTAAATTGAAGCTGCATAAAATGCATATCACGACGAAGTGTCTTCACATTCCTGCTAAGTAATTTCAAAAACACAGGAACCATAAGGCAACAAACCAAGACTATTAACATAATTATTCCAAATGAAATTAAAAAGTGTAACCAATTAGAGGGAGCCAAGGAACGTAGAGAGTCAGAAAATGTCGATGCAAAAGCAGACAAAGCTGGTTCAGACAAATGAGCCTGGCTCATCGCAGAAATTTCTGCTTGAAGTGAAGACAAATCATGACTAGTGTCACTTTCACGCCAAATACCCAGTAAATGATTTTTAACAAAAGCCCAATCAAGAGATGAATTAAATGGTTTGGGCGTGACACAGATAAATTTAAACTGTGCATGACAACGAGTGGAGAGAAGTCTCTTAATTTGCTGAACTTCTTCTCCCAAAGCCAGTACTGTTTCCTCCAAGGCATTAAGTTTTTGTTCCATTTTTTTATCAATGGAATGTTGCAAGGCAAGTGCTAAAGTTACATTTTGTGTGAGGTCATTAACAAAATGTGCTGTATGAGTTTCTTGCACCAGGGCAACAGACGAGGCTGCAAGTGAAGTAACAATTGCTATCAAAGCAGCAATTCCCAGGAACAGAGAAACAATAAACCTTTTTGGCCTAATTAAAGCATTAATTTCTTTAAACATTTGCAAAGCTGGATCATCATACCAAGGCATATCCTGTAAATCAACAGGAACCATAACATAAGAAGGACGTTTAACAACAAGGATCACATTCAGGGTTTTTCTGTCCCTATCAGGAGATAGACAATTAGTCAAAATACATTGTGAACATTTAACAGAATAAGAATTATTTGTACGAGTAATTTTCACATTATTAACATTACCTAATAACAAAGCATAAGGATATCCAACACATGCACGAAGGCCTACATCGATAGGCTTTTTCGATGGAGGTTGCCATTGTAGATTTTGTGCAGCAGCCGTAAGTCGAAAAATGTCTGGTTGAATTATAGTTTTCTTTGAAGCAGCAGGTCGAATGACCAAAGAAGGAGCCACCCATCCTGGAGAAAACCACCACCAAGCCCACCCGTAGGCAGTGGACCCAGGTTTAGAATGACTAATGGAAAAGTCATATAGTTCTTCAGACGTTCCGGTGGAGACATTTGTGACGCTTTTGGAAAGCCACAATCAAGCCAAACCGGATTCTTCACCAAAGAGTCCCAGAACTGATCTCTATCCCTATAAGTTTGATTACAGTTACGGAAAGGTAAAGAAAAATCAGGGACAGCTGTGTATTTACTATAAATATCAACAGGAAAGCTCAAATAAGCAAAACGCAAAACCCAAACATTACGTCCAATTTTTCCATTTGTTGGAGGAGAGTCAGTAAAAGTTGTTCTAGTAGAAAGCATCATGCATGTCTGTGGGACAGGAGTCATAGTAGCAAAACATATAGGTGTATCATCAGAAAGTCCTTCATAGTTAAAAGGAACTGACATTTCTGCTTTAGAATGAAAGTCTGCTAGTCCACCCATTATGTCAGTATTGTTGACATACACCTTAATTGGTGTTTCTTCATTCCAGCTGACAGGATGCAATAACGGTGGATCTGGCACATAGGCCCAATATGTCTCAGCCTGTACTGGAACTCCTGTTATGGCTAAAGCGGCCATAAGAATTAAAGTAGGTCCAATAGGCTGATTCATTCTTTGAAGCAAGGCTTCAGCCACTCGCAGAAGACGAAGAAGCTGCTCAGCTGTAGGAAGATTAGGATTCTAGGGAGGTTCCGCACACCCTGTCCTCTGGAACATCGCTTCCAGATAAGCTTGTCTCATTCTCCGGATCGACGCAACCAGGCGACGGCGACGTTGTGCCCGCCTGCCGTGATCGATGACGGATGAGCCTGTCTGGAATCCAGATGGGCGTCTCGGCATCCTGTGGAAAAACACAAGCATAGCCTCGACCCACAGTTAACAGTACATCCGGCCCTTTCCAAGTTCCAGTAAGTAAGTCTCGCCACATAACTAGTGGCAGGGGAACAGATTGCACAGTACCCCAATGCCTTATCATAGGCGTCATTCCATTTTCATCTGCATTTAAATGATTCAAGACAAAAAGAGCGTGTTGAAGCTGGTGATGCGGTGAAAAATGAGCTGCAGAATGCAATCTATCTAATTGATGTTTCAAAGTTTGATGAGTTCTCTCAATTACAGCTTGTCCTTGAGGATTATAAGGTATACCAGTAACATGATCAATTTTCCATTGTTGACAAAATAATTTGAATGCCTTTGCAGTATAAGCTGGAGCATTGTCAGTTTTTAATTTCATAGGCTTTCCAAGAACTGCAAAGGATGCTATAAGATGCTGAACCACATCACGTACAGCTTCACCAGTTCTGGCTGTGGCATATACAGCATGAGAGAAAGTATCCACTACTACATGAATAAATGACAGCCTTCCAAATGAGGAATAATGAGTGACATCCATTTGCCACAAAGCCAGAGGTTTTAAACCTCTGGGATTCACTCCCATCTTTAATGGATGATGAATATCAGGGCAATGTTCACAATTTCTCACAATAGCCCGAGCTTGTTCTCGAGTAATTTTGAATGCATGTCGCAGTGCTTGAGCATTTTGATGATGCAGTTGATGACTCTGTTGAGCCAATTCAACAGAGCCAATTAAAACATCTTTTGTTAATAAATCTGCCATATGATTCCCTAAAGCTAAAGGCCCAGGTAAATTTGTATGACCTCGAATATGTCCAATAAGGTGTTTTTCAGATCTTTGGTGAACCAAATTTTGTAATTTAGATAATAATGGCAGAATATGTGTTGTTCCAGATAAAAGAGCAGTTTCCAACGAAGGAAACAATGATACAACATATTTGGAATCAGAATACAAATTCAAAGGTTGAGTGTAACTTTCTAAAGCCATAATAACTGCAATAATCTCAGCTTGCTGAGCAGAAATATCAGACGTCATTTTTCTTAACGGCTCTTTACCAGGACTATAGACAACAGATATGCCTGATGAAGAACCATCAGTAAAGACAAGTGTGGCATCATGCAGTGGTTCAATACTGATAACCGAAGGAAATATAATTGATGTATCTTCCACAAATTTAATTAATGGATTTTGGGGTAAATGAAATTTAATTTGTCCTGTAAAGTTTTGTATGGCAATTCCCCAATCATCATCATTTTGCAACAAAAACTCAAATTGTGCTTTGTTATATGGAATTACAATATTATTTGGATCCTTGCCAAACAATTCACGAGATCTCAGTATGCCTTTCATAATTAACCAGGCACACATAGACGGATATGCAGTTACCACACGTGTTTGTACATGTGATAAATGCAACCATTCCAAGATGCCTTCTTGCCATAAACAAGCTGTTGGAGTATAAGTAGTTTGAATAATTAATAAATCCCATGTTTTTGAATAATCAATCTGAATAACTTTAGCTTCAGATATTTTTTGTTCAACCAATTTAAGACTTTGCAATGCTTCTTGAGTCAAATTACGAGGAGATTTAGGATTTGAATCTCCTTGTAAAATTGCAAAAAGCGGATGTAAATCTCCAGTAGTAATTTTGAAATATGGCCGTATCCAATTTATGTTCCCTAATAATTTTTGAAAATCATTCAAGGTTTGTAATTTGTCAATGCGAATCTGTAAGTTTTGTGACATAATACAATCATTATATATAACTTTCCCTAAATAATTCAATGGTCTGTCTTTTTGAATTTTATCTGGGGCCACTACTAGGCCGTATGCCGTCAATTGTTCTATTAAATGAGTCAGAATTAAATCTGCAATTTCTCTCACAGGATGACTCAAAAGAATATCATCCATGTAATGAATAATATATGCATTTGGATACTTTGATCTAGTTTCCTGTAGTGCCTGATCAACAAATTTTTGACATAAAGTAGGGGAATTTTTCATACCTTGTGGCAAAACTTTCCATTGATAGCGTTGCCATGGTTTTTGAAAATTACTAGATGGAATACTAAAGGCAAATTTTTTACAATCATCTGGATGTAATTTAATTGTAAAGAAACAATCCTGTAAGTCAATGATAATAACATAATTGTCCTTTGGAACTGCTACAGGAGAAGGTAACCCTGGTTGTAGGGCACCCATATCTTGCATTGTAGCGTTAACTGCCCTTAAGTCCTGCAGAAGACGCCATTTACCAGATTTTTTCTTTATACAAAAAACAGGAGTATTCCAAGGACTTGTAGACGGTTCCAAATGACCTTTA